GTCTTTTTTCAATAGAATAACAGTGTCAAAAAGGAAATTTTCTTACCTTTTTTTATACTAACAGAAAAGGAACTTGGTACTGAAAAGTGAATTCAATAGCTTATTAACTGTGTATAATTGAACACCTTATGAACATGGGTCATTTAGTCAAACAGATTCAGAGTTCAGAGTCATCTCCATGGTGTAAAAAAATTCAGTCAGTAACAACGTAGGACTTAGTACGTGCGTACGTACATCAGTTCGAGTTGCCACACCACATTAGCACAGAGATGCAGTTGTCTATTCAAATCCCGTAGTGGTAGAGGTGTTAAGAGTATAAGCAGTAATCGGAAACATTAAGGTTTGAAGATGTTATTCAAAGAGTATAGTTCAATGAAATAAATTTGGAAAGAGAAAAAGTGAGAAAATGAGGATTCAGGAGATTAGAATTTGGGAGAACACAAATAGGCTTCTATCTTCTTGACATTGTCGAAGCTTATGTCATACATTAGGAATAGCTAGAAATGTGCTTACAAAAGAAACTTATTTACCCTATTCTTCTATTCATGATCTTAACCCCTAGTTTTCCAATGATATTACTGTCCCCCTCTTGTACTCTATTGATAGTTTACTGTTATTCAACTTATTTTGTTTCCATATCCTTACCAATTTTAATTCCAAAATTTTAGTTTCTCACTTTAAGCAATGTTTTTCCACACTTCTTGTTTTTTTGTATCAGAATTAGGCTTTGTGAATATTGTAGTGATCTTTTTAAAAGTTGAATTTATAAATCTTATAATAATCATCTTGTGCTGACTAGTAACTAGCTTCAAGATGAATTTCATGGAGTTTTAGTGAGAAGCCGTCACCAGTGGACTTCAACCCTGCCTAGTATGAAGCAGTTACTCATTGAAAATAATGATGGACGGTCGGGTAATGTCGTGGATTAGTTGAACTTAGACATTAGATGCTATCTAGCTCAGTGGTTTAAAGGTTAAGTGTTCGTGTGTGAGACCGGTCTTGGGTTCAAGTATTTTTGTTGTTAGATCGTGAATTTGCAGTGGTGGGTCGTTCCATACTGGAATGAAACGACCATCCAATCCTTCCAAGTTTTTACTGGTTGTTCAAGTTAGATCTATTCATAATATCAACAACATCCAACAATCTCTACAAATTCTCGTACTGATAAATATCATGTGCTCACTAGTTACTAACTTCATGAGGACATTTACAGAGTTCCGATATGAAGCTGTAAGCGGTGGAGTTCAGCTATGTTGTATACATGACAATATTCATCAACAATATTAACTAATGTTCATACAATAATACAACTTAATTAAAATTAAATATATAAACTGCAGTATCCCAGCTCCCTGGTCTAAAAGTTTAGCTCTCTACTTAAGACCTGAAGTTCCTGCATTCAGTTCCCAATAAGGTGATGGATTCCTACTGGTAAGAGGTCCCATACTGGAATTGTTAAACTATAAACTAACAATATCAATTCTTAAAGATTCAGTAATATACACTTCAATAATTCACATTTCACAATTTCAGTGACAAAGACTACGACTAAATCAGTACTTGTAAATAGTTTTTTGGTAAGAAAAAACAAAGCTGAAAGTATTCAGTAATTTATCAACTTTTATAGATTATTACCAGTATGGGGATTTGTGGTGATTGTAGTAATTTTAATGGTTAAATTCATGAGTCGATCTAAGCTAGACCACCATTGAAAATATAGAAACATTGGACAGCCGTTTCATCTGAATATGAAACTACTCACCAGTGTACATCTACAATCTCACACCTAAACGACTCGAACCCAAAACCTTCTATCTCACATGCGAACGCTTAACCTCTAGACTACTGAGCTGAACGGTATCCAACGGTCACAATTGATTGACCACGGGGTGGTGATCAATGTCATGTGTGTCAAGTCTTTATTTAGTGCAGATCGATGATCACCACCCAATAATCAATCAATTGTGATTACATCTCAGTCATACAGGAGGTTGGTCGCGGCCCGGATAGCTCAGTAGTAACGTCTCTGACTGTGAAGCTGGGTGACACGAGATCGAATTAGCCAAGGAGCACCAGTTCCCTCAAGATTACAGGTACACCTTGTTGACGAGTGCCAAGTAGCACAAAACTCGGGTCCAGGGTTACCTGTTGACTACCTCCAACCACCATCTAATCTCGGTATCCAACGGTGTTAATATCTAGTTTCAATCGATTCATGGTCTTGCAAAATCATTCATCTTTTGTCTAGGGTAGAGATACCTGTCTCCACCCGACACAGATTGAACACTATCGGTGACGATTTCTCACTTGAATTCCATGAAATTCATCTTGAAGCTATTCATTAATGACCACAAGATAACTATCATCAAAATGGGGGCTTGTGAAGATTGTAGTAATTTTAATAGTTGATTAATTTGAGGAGTAATAATAATACATAATGGGTATATATTTAAATATGCGCTTAATTACTAAAACACCAAATAATGTTATTTTTTGAGACAAAAATTCAAGATTTTGACGTCTATTTTTTGTACTTATTCAAGTGAATCACCATGACTATTATCATCACAACAGTACTTATCATTATTATTATTATTATTATTATTATTATTATTATTACTGTTACTACCAATTATAAATAGTATGACTAATACTCATCTCCGTCTTATTAGTAAAACAAACTTGCATTTGTTTTTTTCATTTTCAAAAGTTAAGGTGGAACTTGCGGCGTAGGGGTGTATAGTGTATTCTAGGCGTAGATTTACAGATTTCTTTTCTTACAAATAACATTTGGTACCACTTCAATAAAGAATTTATATATACTTCTAAATAAATATATTAGTATTACATCAATTATTCAAAGCATAGTCATTATATTTACTGCCCCCCACCTTACCCCTGAAAAGAGAAATGCATTCGACAGACGGTGGCAATAGTATTAGTAGTGGAAGTGGTGAATATAAAAGGGGGGTTAGGGATAATTTTAAAACATGTGAGATAAAAAGGTAGTGAAAGAGAGAGAGAGAGAAAAACACAATAAAAAGTCAAATTTTATTTTTATTTTCCCATTTTATTTTGCATAAACTCACGTTTAGTCAATTTCCCAATTGGCAATATGTAAAAAAAATGTTAATTTTTCTGTTATTGAAACCCTTCAGGAAAATAAATAATAATTTTTAAAAAAAATCCATCGAGTCTTTTGCTAACTATCCTCATTACTCTTTTCACTTGTTTAACTATCATTCCTCAATAAACTCTTTTTGTGCTTCAATATTTTAGCTCCTCTTCAGTTTGTGTCTACTTCCCCCACCCCACCCCCACCCCTCACTCCTTTCAGTTTGAAATCATAATCTGTGAACAGTAAACTATTTTAAATATTCCCTATTTATGCATAATACATGAGACATTTTAGTAAAAGAAAATAATAATGAAAAGTATCTATTCTACTTATTTTCTAAAGCACATTACCATGTTATACAGTTTATAGTAAACAATGAAATGTAAAACAAAAAAATGGTAACATCTTTACTATATAATGAGTATTCATGCGTTACACATACATTATGCATGTATGAAAGCACAGGAATAAAAGATAGATGTAACTTATATTGACATGTCTTTTGTATGTATGCGTGTGTGTGTGTGTGTGCATGTACGTGTGTGTAGTTAACTGTACTTTTTGGTCTCAGTAACACAGATTTGTCAATCAGTGAGATTTATTCGATAGGATGAATTTTATAAAATAAAGAACATTATGTTTTAACAGACAGAATAATATGTCTAGTTAAATGTAGAAAATAAATAATATTTTTGTTATCAGTATAGAGTTGTGAAGATTGTTGAGTTCTTATTGAGATCATGAATAGATTAATGTTTTAGTGAGAAGCCGTCATCAATGGACTTCAACCGTGTCTAGTGTGAGATAGTAATTCACTGAAGACAGTGGTGGACGATTGCATAATATCGTGGAGTGGTTGGAGTTAGACACTAAGATTGTTAGATACCATCCAGCTCAGTGATCTATAGGTTAAACGTTCGCGTGTGAGATCAAAGATCTTGGATTCGAGTATTTTTGGTGTAAGATCGTGGATGTGCACTGTTGAATAGTCCCATACTAGGACAAATCGGCTTTCAAGTTTTCAATTGTGCTCTAACATTGATCTATTCATGATCTCAATATTTCTTTTTAACAAATAATTATTTCAAAATTAGTTCATTTTAAGAATATATTCTATACAGTACAATGTGTTTTTTAGATGAAGAGCACAGAGATTTTGAAACGATGTTTTTATTTAAAATAGTTTACAGACTAGTTAATTTCTTGCCATTTGGTCGGATGGAATTAGATGGACTTAAATGAACTTAAATGTTGCACAAGTTGTAGTTCGAATCATAAATAGTTTATCAATTACTTCAGAATTGTGAGCATGTCTCGGTGGCATGTGTCAGTTGACAAAAGTACCAAGGTTTAGGACTTGCTAACGACTATTTCCAACAACTTAAAGTCTAGGTACAGTAAACGAAATATTAAATCACTTAAACTAGTGATCATATTACAACCTATTAGATAGAATTAGATCAGTCATAATGGTAAGACAATCGTATTATCCTTCACTACTCTTCCATAATGACTGAGTTGAAAAAAGGTAGACATACTCTAAATACATGATCAAACAATGAATAATCATGCTGTAATGAATGCAAATAAGTATTATAGGTTCCTGTAAACTGATTTCTTTTAATGTATTTTAGACTCGAACTAAGGAATCTACACTTTAGGACTTTTAATCATTAGTCTGTAGGTAGATGCTTAATCAGAAGTTCATAACAGTCTCAAATTCCATCGACAGCCTAGTAATAAGTACGAACAGATAATGATTTCCATAGAATAAAGAAACACCTGCTTAATGTTTCCTGGTTTTGTAACTAGAATAGGCCAGTATTGTAAATTATTTTTAAACGAGAATATTATTATTGATAATCATAAAATGAAGACTTACCACCATCAATGGAGTCTGTTCGACGAATACGACGTCCATGTTTTGAATTATTATGCACAAACATATTATCTGATATACAGAGTAATTTACGTTCAATTGCATGTGTTGATGATATTGCAACCTTCATAAGAATCACAATGAAAACAAGGTAACAAATATAGTTATAAACCTTTTCTTTTCTTCATTATTTCTGGTCATAAACAATCAATAATTTGAGTAAAAAAGAAACTGAACATCAAATAAAATGGTGTTCATTTGTTTGTTTAAATTGACTAATTATGTGGCGCGTTCTTGATTTATGAGAAAAATTGTTGCCAAATTCTAGCGAGGTAATCACCATAGTGATTAGTATATTTTTCTTTTCATTTGTATTTTTGGTTGAGAAAAAAGACAGAAGTTTATGATGGGAATCATGCGTCGAAATTAGTCAATGTTGAACAGCAAAAAATATAACAGTAACAAGTCTAGTTGAAAACATACGTGATGAATAGGATCTGACCACTGTTGAATCGTCTTTTTGTCACATTTTTGAAAATTCACAAATTACACACATATAAGACGATAATTGTTTTTGGAAAACTACCAACTTTATTTTGAGAATTTCATAGGATTATAAGTTTTGCACAAACTAATCATATCTAAGATAGTGAATGTTGAACATCAGGCTGAAAGCTTATTTACCTGTATGGATAATTAGCATCTCGTCATGGAAATCCTAACTCTAGTTCTAGTCGAAATACCTCACATTTCTTTATCACTTTATTTTAATCCAAGAAAGCAGGTGATACCTATCAAGAGCACTTCGATATCACTGATAGGTTGCCTATAAGTCATAGTCTTGTAGAGAATTACTTTGTTGTAATCGAATGGGAAATAATTAGTGTAAAATCTCAGACTTGGTTTTCAATATAAAATTTAACAATCTTCACAATCCCGTATTGAGAAATTAATTTGTCAGCATGCGTAGATCATATACATCAAGAATACATAAAGATTTTAAGATTGCGATTAAATGCCGCTAACAGTTCACAAACTAGGACTCTTTTTTAAAACTAACCGTTGAAAATACGTTGAAATCTCTTTAAAACTGTATTAAATCAGACTTTTATCAGAATAATTATTTTAGCTCATTATAGTTTGATGTCACGGACTTGGTTGATTTAAACTATCAATGAAAACCAGAAAGTACTAGACAGCTGATTCCACTTAGCATGTGACGCCTTTACAGTGTACATTCATTATTCAATCGGAGATTGAATTCAGGACATTCAGTCCTTGAGACAAGAGTTTAATCGCCAAATAATTGAGTTAATGATCAAATGACTTACATTAACTAAATAATTTTAAATTAATACTTCAATGAGAAAAACAAAATTCATTAATTTGATTATTCTAGCTTAAATATTCATCGGCATTTTTACAGTTGAAGAACATATGGAACTCAAAACAACAACAGTTCTACTGTATAGAGCTGAAACTTCGAGAACTACCACAATCATCATCAAAATGATACAAGTATATCTAAACAATTGTCTATACAAGGTACTCAAGGTCCGTTGGCTGGATACTATCAGTAACAACCTACTATGTGACAGAACAAATCAGCTTCTAGCTGAAGAAAAATTAGGAAAAGACACTGGAGGTGGATAAGGTATACAATGCGAAAATCACCAAACTGCACCATGAGAGAAACGGAAAAGAGGAAGGCCAGAGAACACACGACGCCGAGAATTGGGAACAGATATGAAAAGGATGAATAGTAACTGGAAAGAATTACCCAGAACAAATTTGTGTACAGAATACTGGTAAACGGCCTATACTCCTCCATGAGAAGTAACAACCGTAAGTAGGTAAGTAACCTTAAATACATATGATAAAACCAAAAACTCATAGCAAATTAGCATATGTACATAATACACTTTAAGTTCATCAATATATAAATTTGATTAATATCAGATAGGTTTTGTGAATATTATAGTAATTTCAATGGTTAAGATCATGAGTCATTTAAAGCTAGACCATCATGGAAAATCTGGAAGCACTGGACGGCCGTTTCATCCTATTGTGGGACTCTTCAACAGTGCGCATCCACGACCTCGCCTCCTGCGAGATTCGAACCCAGGACATATCACTTTCGCGCGCGAGCACTTAACCAGTAGACCATTGAGCCGGCATCCAACGGTGTTAATGTCTAACTTCGTGGGTTAGTTGAAGTTATATATAAATTTGAGTCGAATAAAAAACCACTTAAATTCATTCATTAGATACATAGATAGTTAATAAAACATATTTCTTTTTTAAAAAAAATATGTTACTTTCCTTATGGATAATCATGAATAACTACTCTTGGGATTTAAGTATAATCAATTTACTTCTCCATACACAAGCCTATACTACTAACCCAAAAAGTGATGAACTATGTGTGTATGTATGTGTGTGTGTATGTATGTATGTGTGTAGGTATGTATGAATGTACATACGCTAGCTATTCTTTTCTCTTTTTACATAGAAATGCCGAACTAATTGAAAAATAAACAAATGAGTAAACAAATATTTATTTACATTTACTATTCACTATGAATAAAATAACTTTATCATTATATATGTAAGTAATCAAGAAGTAACAACTACTTTCATACATTGAACAACACTTGAGATTAGTTCATTCAAAATGAACATTCATCTTATATTGACCATTTTAACTAGGATACATTGGGATATAAGGCTGTACATGGATAATGACTAAATGATTACCAATGATACAGCTAATATTGTTTATCATTGTCATTTATGTGTTGTAACGTTTTCATTTGAAAAAGAAAACTTTCTTTGTTACTCATTTCAATTTTTCATTGTACTAACTTATTGAAAATTGAAATAACTTGTTCTCGATTTCTACTGAAGTATTTTTTTGGCGAGACGGCGAGGCTCTAATTTATGGACGAGCCAATCAGAAGCGTTTGAGAGATTTCAAGGTTACAGCGCCAACTTCAGTGCTTAGTGCTAACGTACGATCGGTTCACAGGGAATTTTGTACAAAACCTGATAATTGAGTGGCTATAACAAATAAAGCGGCGAGTCTATAATTTGTGGATGAATCATACGGGTATAAGATGATAGAACTCGGATTCTAACGCGAAGGCCTTTCATCCATTTGGCTAAGTACATTTCTGGCATTATAGCTGATATCAGTTCATGATGAAAACCTCATATATAATTCTTAACTAAGGCAAATTACGAAAATTATCGCGAACCGGATAATAAAAGCACCAGTAATACTGCCTGCAACCAGGTACTACAATATATACGGATGTTTGGAGAGTGTACAGACTCCTACGTGAGCTTGGTTATATGCATCGTATCGTTATCCACAAGTAGCATTTTGTGCACTCAACAACCGTAGTGCACATAAACAATATTGAAGCTATGTGGTCGAGGCTGAAAGAGTTTTGAGACCTTATCATGGCTCCAGAGGCCGACTATTCTGTAGCCATATGGGTGATTTCCTCTACTGCATGCATTACGATTTTAGAACCTCTGGACCCCTTACTAACCTTGAAAGGTTTTTGAACCATGTATAACAAGTGTATCCACTTTATTTCCTTGTTTTTGTATAATATATTTCTACTCCATACTGATTGTTTGCTGACTGGCTAATCTATCTCAGGGTCACTTAAGACTCATTCAAAGGTCTCGCCTGGCGAGACTCTAATTTATGGACGAACTAATCAGGTATAAGTTAATAGGTCTAGGATTTTGGCGTAAAATTCATTCATCCATTTGACTAAATCAAGTTTTGGCATTATAACTGATGTCAGTTTGTGATGAAAAACTTAAATATTATTCCTAACCTTAAACGTCAAATGTAAATCACAATTGGAAGTCCTCATACTGGTTTATAACACTCCTTTGGTCTTAGTTATTAGCGTCGCTCAAAAATCATCTATAAATTTTAGTCGCACCGCTTTTTTTCTTTTCTTTGGAATTGACCTAAGTAAATAAACATTTGTAGTGTTTATATCATGAATTGACTTTATTAGAAACTATTGTATCGTTAGATTATTGTTTTATGTTATTATGGAACTTTTTAGATAAAGTTCACTTAAAAACCAACCGGGATTTAAACTTACTGAGGATGTTTAAATTAAACGGTAACATTGTTAGATACTATTTGAAGTAACACTTCTCTAACTGATATATAATATTTTAAACTTGACAACAAAATATCTTTTAACAAATCTCATATAAGATGGAATTACGCTCTAATGATATCAGCACCAGTTTTAGGACTGAATACTAAAGCCCATTTTTTTGGCAGGTCATCGAAAAATAAGGATACTTAGATAGTAGTGGTATGCTCTCAATATTGAATATTGCTATGAATCTTTATGAGTAGAAATTAATCACAATTAAAAATGGATGTTAATTGTAGTGAATGTTAACTCAATCGTGACGATACACTTCTCTCAATGCGAAGCCTCAATGTCCCGGGTTCAACTTCTGATGGATTCCTGGTTAGGTGAATTAGTTCAATGTTACAGTATTTTGAATGATTGTCCAGCTAAAACTGACCTTAATTACATTCACTACAAATATCTCATATCGAATATAAATTATCATTAACATTTATAAGTTTTTATTATTAACTTACTAAGTTTAAGAATAATAAATATAAACTATTTATCGTTGAATTCATGAGTCAATTGAAGCTGGAACACCATGGAAGACCTGGAAGCATTGGACGGCCATTTCGTCCTGGTATGGGACTTTTCAACAGTGCTTCCAATTATTCCATAATGGTCTAACTTCAATTAACTCATGAATTCAATTACAAAATTACAAAACTTTTCATAAATCCCCCTTCTGGTAATAAACTATTTCAATAGTTGGAATCATGAGTTAATTGAAGCTAAACCACTATGGAAAACCTGGAAGCACTGGACGGCTCATGATTTCAACTACTGAAATTTCTAAAATCTCCACAAAACCCCTTCTGATAATAATCGTCTACTCACAAATGACTGACTTCAAGAGGCCCTTCCTGGAGTTCTAGTTAGAAGCAGTGACCAGTGGTGTTCAACCGGGTTTGTTGTGAGATAGCAACTCACTGAAGACAATGGTGGATGTGTCTCTCAATTTCGTGGATTAATTGAAGTTAGACATTAACACCGTTGAATACCGGCCAGCTTAGTGGTGTAGAGGTTAAGCACTCAAGCGCGAGACATATCCTGGGTTCGAATCTAGCGAGGCGGGATTGTGGATGCACACTGCTGAAGAGTCCCAGACTAAGACGAAACGGCCTCTCAGTGATTTCAGGTTTCCCATGACGGTCTAGCTTCAATGGACTCATGATTTCAACCATTGAAATTCCTAAAATCTCCACAAAACCTCCTCTGATAATAAACCATTCATTTAGTTAAAAAAAATTTCATATCATATAGAGTTATCAATTGTAACTTACTTGAAATCGGCGCATATCACGTGGATTACCAGCATTTTTTAAACAGTTCTGATTACATTTCATAAAGAATTTAAGAAAATGTCTAAAACATAATGAATGTTGGTTTGACAACAAAAAGAAAGAAAAAAAGAGAGAAAAAAGTAAAAATGAGATTGTTGTAATGAATTTTCATTTACAAATACTTTATTCTTTACTTCATAAATTACTTATTACAGATAGAAATGACAATTTAAAACTAATGAGATAACTTAAGAGTTAAGACAATGTTAAGGGTAGAATGATCCATTGTTAAATAAATTGTCAATCAACCTACATTACAATTCATTTAGTCATATGATGTTGTGATACATTATGCATAAAGCTTTGATTTATAACTTGGATGTGTTTTTTTCTCTTGTGTAAAGACTGTTGTATTCTAGGCCTTCTTTTGCTTCTTGAATATTAGTCATTATCCTTGTGGGAAATAATCAATTTAGGAGTATAAACTATCGCAGATAGTTATATCATTGGTAGTCATTATCAACGTAGAGCCTGGTCTCGATGTATACTGATCAAAGTGGTCAATATAAGATGGATTTTTATTTTGAATGAAATGATCTTAAGTAGTGTTAAAAATATGAAAATAGTTTTTACTTCCTTCTTCTTGGGGAATCTCAGTAATAAATTGATATAAGGACGGCAGTGACAACTCAGGATCGTAACCAAAATATTCGCGTGACAAATGCTTGACTTTGTTCATGCATAGCCTCTTTGTGAGTATTTTCACATGCATTAGCTTCGCACTTTTTAGGTCTTATCACCTGTCACTAAAATCTATGGGTTGTTGTGAGGTGTGCTATCTTTATGACTGGCATTTTCAGCCCTCTTCTTTCGTGATGAGAAAGCGGCATCTCTGCAGATGCCAGTTGTCTGACACATACTTTACTGTACTGCAATTCAGTACAGTCAACAGTACAACTTCACCCTCAAACTGTATATTTGCTGTTTCTAGTCTCACCATTCTCCAGCCAACCTGTCTGACTTGATAGGACATAAAGAAACAAATATCTCTAATATGGCTTGATTAGATCATCATAATATGCAAAGCTGACAACCACATTAAGTTAGCAGTTAAATTTCAGTATAGGGGTTGTGGAAATTATTAAGTTTTTTTATTGAGATCAGGAACCGATTGATCTTAGATCACCATTGAAAATCTAGAAGCACTGGAAGGCTGTTTCGTCCTATTGTGGGACTCCTCAACAGTGCGCATCCACGATCACGCTCGCGGGACTAGCTCCGTGAGGGAATTCTCGGAGTTCTAGTAGGAAGCCGTGACCAGTGGAGCTAATACGTGTCGGGTAGAGACAAGTATCTACCTAAGTACAATGGAAGATGGTCGCGCAATTTCGTGGATTGGTTGAGGTTAGACATCCACACCACTGGATGCCGGCAGGCTCAGCGGTCCAGCAGGTCTAGCGTTCACGCGCGAGACTAATGGCCCAGGGTTGGAATCCGTCGAGCGGGATCGTGGATGCACATTGCTGAGGAGTTAAGTCTCAGGATTCATTTGCTGATTTCATTCATCATAATCATACTTATTACTACATTTTTACTCCTTGATTCAAAATCAATTTATTTATAAATAAATAACAGCAGGGTGTCTCATCTCTCTCCTTTCCTCTAACAGACTTTTATTCATTTCACACAAATGTAATTAAATGAAACTTGCATAAACGTATACAATTTGTATAAACGTATATTGTTTATTCTGAATGAGTCTTTCAAATGAAGATGCATGAAAACATGTGGAATAAAAAAATAAAAAGAAGAAGACCAAAAAAACGAGAATATCAAATTAGACTGAATTATGTTGATAATGAAATATTTTATTGTATATTGTATTAATATATAAACATAACGAGAAATTATATCTGTTTATATTACAGTCACGTGTATGATATTACTACTACTACTACTACTACTACTACTACTACTACAAGCATAAACATTAAAACTGCTTAGATTATAGTTGTTTGAATAGTATGAAAAGATTATTGTTCAAACTAAGTTCTAACCTTGAATTCCCCCCTCCAAATCGCATGTTTCTGTAATAGGGCACTTGAAAAAGAAATGAACTAATCAATCCACTTGTTTACTTGGATGTTTTCATTGATGTTTAGGACTGAAATTGATCAGTCTCTTATTGGCATTTGTGTATACTGTGCGTATTCCTTCGATATTGCCTTAATTCACAAGCATTCTAAGCTTGGATAGATGGTGGCTAGCAGTGGAATCCAGAACACGCACCATTTCGTCTTATTTAGGACTCGTCAGCTGAGATGTATCTACATCTCGAGCACAGTACCGTTCTCTTTATACGCCATCGCATTATCCAAATAGGACGAAACGCGCATCCTAGATTCCACTGCTAACCACTATAGAACTTTGCTTGAAATTAACTAATGTCTATGATAATTAACAAGACATATTACTGAAATGAATAGAATCATTTATATGTAACTAAATAGATTTTAAGTTCGATATACCTATGTATTCCAGACCAAAGTATGTTAATTTTAATCTTTTATCTTTCTTTTCCAATTATAGTTTATTCTGTGTATACTATGACTGTATATGAATGATCTGTGTACATTTTTATTTCAATAGCTATTTCAAACGTAAAGTAATGTAACGATAGTCACTATTTTTGTTTGGTTAAATGTTTTGAAAGAATAGGAATTGAAGAATAGTTGAATTGTAGGTAGCGCGGAATTTAGGACATGCATCAGTTCCCTCGAGATTACAAGTACACTTTACTTATGAGTACCAAATAGCACCAAACCTAGCTCTAAGGTATCCTGTCAAATACCTCCAACCACCATCTTATATTCTGTGTTATTTAATAGGACAAGCATAAGAATGAAATATGTTCTACTTCAACTTCTGCATTATCAGTTTTCAACAACTTACAAATAATGATATATATATATATATATATATATATATATATATATATATATATATATATATATATATATATACCGCTTTTAATTAGAGAATTAATAGGGTAAAATAGTTTTCATTAGTTGTCTAATTAAAATCAGTCGGTGTTATAAATTATGAAATCATCTCCATCAACCTCACTAATGACTGACTTCGAGAGATAATTTCAATAGTCCTAATGAATCTCTGACTAGTGAAGTCCAACTATGTCGGATGGGAGTCAATTACCTAACAAATGTTATTGGAATATGGTTATATATAATGTCACGAATTGATTGAACGTAGGCCTATAAGCTACTAGATATCTATGAGTTAAGCATCCACTGTGAAATCTGAATATCCTGTATACGACTCCTGCTATAGTCATATATTCGCAGTGTTGACCAGTATCATATTAAGATGAAATAGATGTTTAGTGCTTTTAGATTTCGAATGATTATCTAACTAGAATCAGTCCTCCATGCATACTACATTGTAGTGGTACAGTTTTGTCCAATCTACTATTTTTTTTCAACTATGTCTACAGAATGAATTTAAGTATTATTTTATTCAACTATTTTATCCGAAGAATTTACATACTCTCTTACTACAAAAAGGAAAACAATTGTGTTCTAATGAAGTTCATTAATCTATTTATTGTAAATTTATCACAAAATACCTTATGTCATTAATATAAATAAACTTTAACATATACACATTAGCAGTTGTACCCTGCCTATCCCCTTAACTAAACACAGATTCTTTTTGTCTTTCAGAAAGATTCAGAAAGAAAGAAAGAAAGAAAGAAAAATTTATATTTACTGACAGTACAGTTCGTGACTTTACTACAATTTTAAAAAGAAAAAAAAAAGAAATATTCCCATGTGTTTAATATGTCAATAGGGCAAATATATCTACTCTGATTCTACATTTTCCCTACTCTTTTTTTTTTCCCTCCCGCCCCTCCTCCTCTCTCTCTCTAGCTCTCGTTCTCTTTTCTTCATTGTTATTCTGATTTAATTGATATACAATAAGAGATATCTCATTCATATCAATATCTTTCACCCTTTTTTTCTAATTATTTAAGTCATTTGTTAACTAAGTGGAAAACTTTTCCCAAAAAAATGTGTGAAATTATTGTGTTTTTTTTAAAAACAATAACTAAACCAGAGACAGAGAGAAGGGGGAAGGATGGATGGATGGATGGATGGAGGGGGAGCAAAAAATAACGTAACTGTCTATCATATTTTCACTTGATTGTATTGTGTTCTATCTATCTATATAGTTTGACAATTTTTCTTAATAAATCAAAACACAATCAGATTTCTTTCTTGTGTTTCTGACAGTTTTTTTAGAAAAAATAATGTTTTATTACTAAGAATGTTTCTGTTAACAGCTGAAAAATTTGATTGATAGACATGTAAGAGGAATAATGATGATGATGATGATATAAAAGTGGGATCTTTCAAATGTTCCATTCATGTTAATCCAAATTAACTTTATTACCGGTAGTGATTTCAACTTAATATTTTAAATATTTAAATGGTTTGTACTTTATTTAGGGTGAAAGTTAGAGAGGGTAAACAAAAGGTTAACTGATGTTAATTATCCATTATATATATATGTGAGAGATGATAACCTTTATATTCTTGGTGGTAGAAAATTGCGCCGATGATGTTACTCAGAAGAATGATAAAAGGTTCACAATTAAGCCAATTAATTCAGTGAATAAAAATGTACCAAAAACATCTACCTGAACTAAAAATCTCCCTCCATGTATATATGATTTCGTACCCGTTAAACAGGTTGATGGATAGCTGTATTTCATAGCTCAATAAGTCATGAATTGACTTCTGAAACTATAACTATTCTGTTCGGATCTCAGTGAAAACTTCAACGTCGGAGTTTATATATATATCTAGCTGACGACTCCTACATAAAAAGAATCACTTATCTTGGATTCGATTTTTAGATACGATCCGATTTTACTGAATTTTTGATCAGCATGTAAATATACTTGTAGAGAGGCTGATCATATAGAGTCTTCAATATCAACAATATAAAATATAAACCCTTAAAACAGATAAGTGCTTTCTGTT